GAAAATAACGTATAAAAGAAAAGATTTCGTAGAGAAACACTCCCTCAGAATAAATTATGATGAAAAAAACATTTCCACAGAACTCTTTCACGGCTGAGAGAAAAATTGTGCAGGAAAAGGTTTTCTGTAAAAAATATTGGGCAGAATCTTGAAGGGTTAATGCAGAAAAAAGAAAATTTACGCTAAAAAATTTTCTGCAGATTCCCGAAAGAGAAAACTAAGCAGGATAAAGAAGATTTGTGCAAAAAACATTTCCACAAAAGAATAGTTTTTTGACAGAGAAAAAAATTTTTCATAGTTAGGAAAAAATATTTCGCCGTGAATTACTGTTTCCCGCAGGAAAATTAAAATATCCAACGAAAGAATATTTTCCCGTAGGAATTTGCGGAATCACGTTCACTTTTTTTCACTGGGATTCTGCTGAAAAAATATTCGGCAGAATCCTGCATGAAAATTTCCACAGAAAAATAAGTCTGCATACGTTCAGAAAAAACATTTCGTCGTGAGTCAGCGTTTCCATCTCTGAAAAAACGTTTTACAACCGATAAATTTAACAACAATATATTACTATCTTTTCACAGGTAGATGGTCCAGAATGCCCTCTTCGAAATGGGAATTAACCGATCATCTTTAGTACCCATTTTGAAGGGGACACTTCGAGATATCTATCTATGAAAAAATAATAACATATTGTTCCGGTTATGAACTGGTTTTTCAGAGATGCGTTAGAAAAGCGGTTGTTGAAGATTTACTCCAAAAATCTTTTGCTTATGAAAAGATACTCTAAAGTCTTAACTACCGAATAGCAAAAAAACTGCAAGTCTCTACCGCTGTTTGTTCGCGAGTTATTCAACCGGCAGCTACCGGTTTTATAATCTGAACTGATTAGTAGTTTTAGAAGACCACATATTTCAACAAAAGTTTTCTTTCGCCTTATGTCTATCATGTTTGTAGATTGATAAAAATGGAAAAAGTTACTAAAAATATTTGTGTTGAACAAGCTCAAGATCAGTTGAAATTAGAACAAAAACTATAAACATTACAGAGCTCTTGATTGTAGTCATGATGAAAACTTTTGAAACAACGCTCTAATTCTATAATATGAAGACATAGATTTGAACAGACAGTCATATAGAGGAAAATATCAATGGACAAAAGAAAGATGATAAGTGATAGCGGCGGAACCAGGATTTCGTGGTAGGCAGGGCTCAGCCCGTCACTTTTCTGGAGTTCGGTCTGAAGTAGTGCCAAAAATTTTTTTTACAGAACTTTAAAAACCTGTCTAGGCGGGGCTCAGCCCAGTCTAGTCCTGTTGGTGGCTCCGCCACTAATAAGTGAGTTCTTTACAACAAGCCTCACTCGTAAGTGAAGATAGATTTATCACAATCGGCATAATATAACTAATAATGGTTGTTGACGATCGTTCAGTACGTATGTGATAAAAAAATGTCATTATATTGTGAAAAATAACATTTTCACCACATTAGATGAAGTTATAGATTGCGGTAGCGTGATAAAGTATCCTAGAATTTTAGGGTGGTTTGGGCTTAAAACAATTTTCCTCATCACGAGAATTGAAGTTTAACTTGCTTTTGTGCCTTTTCCTGTGCTTTTGCAGATCCTCTAATTCTATTGCCCTTATTCGAACCCATCAGACTCTACCAGATTTACCTTAGGTTCTTTTTCCTTTACGAAACATTTTATTTCATCGAGTTTCCTCATCTCAACAGTATCAGAAGGGATCGAACTTGACTTAAAATGCCTTAAAGTCGAAAAAAAACTGCCCAAAAATTGTTGTTCCACTGATTTGCATATCTTGTCTCGGAAGTACCGCATCTCTGTCACCGTGTCAACTGAACATGAGCGTCACATTGAGCACCCTGTGTGGCGGATAAAAGTAGCGCAATTTGCCACATATACGACACGTTATTTTTTAGTGTGCGTTGAGATGCAAACCTACCGGTTTTTTCCGACATTTTTACAATAGTGATTCATTATTTAAACTGATTTTCACATGGTCACGAAGATAATTTGAGTCTCACAAAATTGCCAAGTTATAAGAATGATCATATATGGTGGTGTACTTTAGTACTGTTAAGATCTGCGTTCTATTTATTTGAATAATATATAAATTTACAAATTATTTTATCGAACATGAACTCCCGTTACATGATGATCCAGGTTTCTGTACTGCATGAGTCATTCCGATTGTCGGCCTAAGCCTGCCATTCGAAACATCATCTAACTTTTTGTCCGAATGTTCCATGATCATTTTGGCAAAGTGAAAAAATGTCATTTGCACATTGTCGTTCGTTTTTGCACTTGTTTCAATGTATTGAATTCGTCTCGTTTCGGCATACTGTTTAGCTTGTTGATATGTGATAGTACGGTTCATGTGTAGATCAGATTTAGTACCGACGAGATAAATCGGCGTATTTTCTGGGCAATATCGTTGAATTTCATCGATCCATGTGTCAACATTTCGAAAACTCTCTATATTAGTTATATCAAAACATACGAGGACACCATTTGCACCACGATAAAAACTGCTCACAATACATTTAAATCGATCTTGACCCGCTGTATCCCACACCTGAAGTTTAATGTCTTTTGAATCGATATCAATCGTTCGAATTTGAAAATCTACTCCGATTGTGGCTACATAATCTGGTGCAAAGTAATCATTTGCAAAACGCTGCAAAATCGATGTTTTTCCTGAAATACCATATTTACCTCATTACTTATACTTATAGAAGATTAAATTTTCTTACCGATTCCACTGTCGCCGATAATCAGAATTTTAAATAAGTAATGGTATTCCTTGTCTAATTGAAAGTGAGACATTAATTTGTTTCGATGATCACTAATGAATATGAGTTGAATGTTATGCACATCTGCACTTTTATGCAAAACATTTGGCTACGTGTTACTGTCAACGTGGCACGTTCAAGTCTATTGTATAAATGACTAAACTGCTGAGTAAATTGATGAATCATTCAAAACACGATACTTTTTATCCGTTCTTACTATTGCACAATTACCTTGTATTGCCAAGTGTTGTGCAAGAAAAATGAGTTCAATAAATATTGTTGTTATTATCATTATGATTAGATTCTAATCATTAGAACATGTTTTAGGAAAGCTGAAAGAATGCGGTTTATAGATTAAAAATATATGTGCATGAGATTTTTGAAATAATCCACAAGAGTTAAACAAAATGACAACGTTAACAGTCAAAGGACGGGAACGCAAAAGGTTAACAATCGGCCCACCCTCTTTTTCGAGTAATAACAGTTTCCTATATAGTAGAAATGTATTTCGAATTCGATTCTGGGTATAATCAGATACTCTTCTCACTTAAATCCCGTAAAATCCTAGACAATAGCATCTCAATCGGCACCCTCAAAACAACACCTACATGACAAGTAAAACGTGTTTTCCTTAAGTTTCTTACTCTCAAACGGCTAATTAAATATATGATTAGATAGCCCTTGAAATTCTCTACAAACTGAGCTAGTCAAATTATCTTGACTGGTGGGTCCAGACATGCAAAAAACACGTTGAAGCACAAAAAACAGCTCCAGAACTTCTTAATCTTACCTTTTAACATCACTCGGCTTGGCCAAGCGTGACGAAATTTCACTTCTTCGACTTCTTTGTTTTGTATCTTAGAAACCATGTAAGGGTTTTTGACGAAATTTTTATCAAATGTGTATAATAGCAGGTTCTTCAAATTCGGAAAGTGTGAGTTTGATCGGTGCAATCGATCAGCAGTTATAGCAAAAATAGAGGCCGTGACGGAATTTCAAAAAACGGAAAGCTTTTTTGGGTGCTCTTTGAACTTCGAATTTCTCCCTGAAATAAGGCATTGGCGTTTGACATACGTACAGAAAAATGTACACCAATGTTTTGGCTTTCGGAATATGCCTTTAGTTTTGGTTTAAGCGCTAAGATCAAATAAAGCGAGCGGAATATCGATCGTCACGGAATTTCATGCTTCCAATGTAGAAGGTTATGCTTGCCGTAAATTCGACACTAGGACGAACCCAGTCAACCTTCTTTGGTTCTATATCATCCGCATGCCGCTCTTTCATCTGTTTCAAATCTGTATTCAAAATCTGTTTTGCAGATTTTTTTCTTTGATGGAATATTTGAAGTTGTAATAGAAATTTATTTCAGTAGTCGTAATTCATGCTAGTTATCGTGAACATGTACTACCGGTATCAGTTATACTGTTATCAAAAAAAAGTGGGCAAATTTATCAGAAAATGAGCAACCATGTCGTTGAATTAGTACCGACATGGAATCCACAACAAATTATGATGGACTTTGAGAAAGCTGTTATGATATACACCCTCAGCCTCAAAAATTCAGTAACATTATAAAAGTTGTTTAACCCTTGACAGCTGTTATCATTTTTGGACTTCATGGCTGTTCAGGGGTCCGGTTGGACCCACACGGAACGTATGGGAGAAATTCAAGCTTTTTACCATTTGTTTGAAGCTTTTCATGCATGGATCAATGGTCTACATCATGCTGCTTCTAGACGTGGATATGTTGATACTGATGCAGGGTTTGTAACCTATATGATTTAGAAAACATTTTTGGGAAAGGTTTTATAATTAGGTATGCACCAGTTTATAACTGGTGTTGGAGCATCCGGGAAATTTTCTATATATCGGTTATCAAGATTCGCTCATAGCTGCGGAACGTCTCATTTTGCTCTACCAAAAGGACGACAGAGGGCGCCTGTAACACGGCTGGAATCGTAAATATAACACCATGGTTGTTATCGGGTTCGTGCGGACCCACACTCCAGTTTTTTGTCTGTAAGACTCATTCACGACACTTGATATAGGCAGTGTGCATGGATAGAAGATTGACGATTAGGAAAGAGACCTCGAAAGAGATGAATACTGCTAGTAAGAAACAAAAAGCTGCATAGTGGGTCCAACTGGACCCCCAAACAGCTGTCAAGGGTTAAAGCAAACATGGAAATGGTACATGGAATGAACATTTTTTTCGGTCTTACTCATTCGATAGATCTTTTCAAAAGCTACAAAACTAGATAGTTTTGGCTATGGTTTAGTGTAACGGAGTGTGACAATCTCAAGTTTTTGTGGAACTTCAGAATGATTCGAAAAATATAGAACTTTTTAGTATTTGTTCCAAGACTAAATGTTTGAAATAAGTAGAAAAATACTTGAGCAAAGCTCATACATAATAACACAGAGAATTTTCTAGGCTTCAAGATAAGCTACGAATAAGTCTTTCGAAAATATGCCCACATGGGTCAATAGTCGAAATACTTGGCCGATATCATAATTTTCACCACTCTTAGTGCTTTAAAGGAATATTTCTTGAACTCATCTCCTCAGACCCGGAACGTTTTATATATAGAAAGAGAGAGAATTTTCTAGGCTTCAAAATAAGCTATGAATAAGTGTTTCAAAAATATGCCCATACAGGACAATTGTCGAAATACTAGGCCGATATCATAATTTTCACCAATCTTAGTGCTTTAAACACTCTTTTAGTCATTTTTGTGCCATAATGAAAAATTATATATTGTTCAAAAACATACCATTGGATAGCCCTTGCAATTCTCTAATTTCCCCCCTTAAATATAATTCAAATTGATTCAAATTGTTTTATTTCTACCGTAGTGTTCTACATCAAAGTGTACATTTAAAGCAAAATGTTTTAATTAAATCAATGTCAAGTGTTACCGGCACAGTTGAAATGAATACAATTATTATTGGCAATCAAAAACAACAACAGGATGATGATGAGTCTCAATTATTACAAGATAAATTGAATTTAAGTTTTTCAAAACCAAATGCAGTCTGGGTATGAATAGATGAAATTTTAAACGACAAAAATTATCAAAAATTGTACGGATGATGGCGTGATAATTATGGTAATATTAGGAAATTACTCACACAAAAATTAGAATAATTTGAGAAAGAGTATTATATCCCAGTGGTAATCCAGATAAAACGGGACACTTTTGTTCGTTATTTCTGAAGCACTGCCCACTGGTCCAAAAAATTCGTTCTAAGTCCACTCGATAAAGAATTGTATTCTCTACAAAACCTGCTATCTAAATGTCTGATAGCATTTTTCTCGTTTCAGCATCATTCAAAATGCTGCCGGGTACTGAGTTGTCGAACTGCGACGTGCTTTTGTCGACTTCATTTTGAGATTTTAGCCCATTGTCTCAGGTTCAATAGTGATTTTTCTAGATAGACAGATAGAGAATTTTGTGCTCTATTGATCTCATTCATCTACAACTTCATATAATGTTTCCGCTACGTCAGCTGGACTCATACTTAGTTCTGAACCGGCTTTTCAATTTTTTCAAATTAAATTAATTTTTTAATTAATGATTTCAATTGAGAAACTTTGTTTATTATGTCAAAATATGCAGAATTTATTTCTATGACTCAAGAATTTTCAAGATCTAGGTACAAGAAGTTAAGAAAGTACAAGATGTTCAAGATCTTGAGTTCTTGAAATTTCTTGAATTCTTACATATTCTTACCAAGATCTTGAATCCAGATCTTACTGAAAATTTTCAAGAAGTCAAGATCTTGGTTACAAGAAGTTTCACTAGTGCTTGTCGAAGCTGAGCCTAGACAATTCTATTGGATTCTTCTTATGTTAAGATGCAAATAGATATCAAACAAAAAGATCTCTTTGTATTTAGAAAAAACCATCATTCTCTTAACAGTAGGACGCATAAAAACATACATAGATGACGAAGTTTATCAGTCTTATTAGTCAAACTATGAAACATAAAACAAACATTGTTTGAAGATTATGAATATAAACGAAATATAAGAGGCAGTATTAGAAAGAGTTGTTTATCTTTAACAAACTTCGCAACTTAGAATTATTGGAGTCATTTAGCACGTAAGGAATATTAAACATTAAAATATTAAATACAAATAAGTTTGATGATTGTAGCCACAGTCTTATAACTCGACATGTGTCCCACTCGAGGTTTA